GCCATACTCGTAAAGAATGGAATTGTCAAGCAATTTAATGGCACACCTATCATGGAATTGCTCAGTAAGCTAATGGAACACACCCATCCTCCGTTACAGGCTCCAACCTTTCGAACCAGAAGGACAAGGCCTCCCACTTTTCTTTCATCGCTGCCTCTTTCTCCTCCACTGTCTGGAAGAATAACAAACATGCCTTTTTTGCAAAACCCCATCTTACCACCTTGGTATTAAAGCCCTCATTCCATAAAGCCTTCTGCACGAAATCAACCTAAAAAACCGCCTTGCAAATGCCTGTTAAAGACGATCTTAGCCATAGCCTTTCCTCCACTGGAATAAAAACTTCCAAAAGTTTTTTCAGCACCCTGTTATCTCCCACACTATTCACTTTGAAACCCTCTGAAACTCTTTTCACCCCCATAACCGTATCCTTGTAAGTCCTACCATCATGAAACTTGTTCATCAACTCCATCTTCCCTACATCTTTGACTGGAGATAGTGATCTTCATTTCAGTTCCTCTGCTGTAGCATCTTTAGACCCCTCCACGCAATCACGCATCATGTTCCTCGTAGCATTATTCTTCTGATATTTGGCAATCTTTACTGATATTCTCCTGCCATCGACCATGACATTGTTAATCCTTTCCATCGCATTAAGCAGATCCTTCTTGCTTGCAAAATGCACAAAAGCAAACGTACTATCCTTGTACTTAGGCCTCTTATTAACAAATGGTATGAACACCTTAATAACTTTGCCATAATAACTAAAATGTTCTCATAAAGCACTTCTATGGACTGTCCTACTGAGATTATCAACGAATGCTGACCACGTTACTCCTCCAGACACCACTCTTTCTTCCTGAAGAACTACTACCTTTTGCTTTCACACTCGCTCTCTCTCTAACTTTCTCACTCATGGTTTTTCTCCAGTGTTATAAAATCTAGAAGTGTTTTGCTTGTCCTGTTGGGAAGGTTCTCTAAATACCACAAGGACTGTAAATTGAAGAAGTAATTATATGCCTCGAAGCAGTTGCCTACAGCTTGGTTTGAAAGATTTATCAAAGTTGTAGTTAAATATGGCTACAAACAGTGTCGGTTTGGTCACACTCTTTTCTTGAAGGTGTCTCCAAAAAAGACCATTATAATAGTGCATGTGAATGATAACATCATAATTGGTGGACACTAAAGAAATCAACAAATTCAAAGGTTTTTTGGCTGTTGGATTTGAAGCTAAAGACATTGACACAATACTTTTCGGGAATGACAGTTATTAGATCAGAAGCCGGAATAGTAATCTCTCAAAGGAAGTATATAATGGATTTACTCACTCAAACTGATATGTTACCCAACTAAGACTCTTAGTTTTAAAAGGCGCAAGGCGCACCAATGCACAATGAGTCCTAAGAGCCTAGGCGCAGGGCGAAGGTGTGCGCCTTTCGTAGGCGAAATGCACTTTTGTGCTAAAAAAGTTATAAATTAATTCTGGAACATATCCACATCCATTACCCACTGATTCACTTATGAAGCACTTAATCTTCTCCCCACATTATGTTCCTTCACCGTAGTTTGTTTCCAAAACTTTAGTTTCCAAAACACTTCAACACAAAATTAAGATTACACTATAATAAATTAATGATTGCATGTTTAAGCATAAAGACTTTAATGAAAATAACGTTAATGATGTATTTTAATTTTCGAGCTAAATTAATTTTTATAACATGTGAATATAATAATTAATTATAATTTTAAAATAAAATATTAGAATCTCTTATTATTTTAAAAAATTATATAATTTTATTTAATTAATATTTTATATCAATTTTTTCATTATAAGTAATGAATTCTAGTGATTTGTATTTAAATATAAGAATGAGTACATAAATAAAAATTTAGATAAAAATATTAATTGTGTAAATAAATTTTATTAATATTATAATTGTATGATATTTTAATTATAAAAAAATTTATAATTATAAAAATAATTATTAAATAATTATAAAATTAATTATATATTTCTTATAAATCTATATATTAAATGTATTTTTTAACCTTTTTTATATTTTTCTATTCTATTTATTCTATTAATTTATTATATTATATTATTTTATTAGAACAAAAGAATAAAGAAAGTTGAGGGGCATAAGGTGGCAATATTCTATTTATTATATTAATTAGGGTAAAGCATATAAATAGTCCGAGGATGCTTGCATTTTGGTCACCCAACTTTTGAAACTTGCAATACAATAATCGAGCTTTTAGTTCGTTTTCAATAAGGTCCCTGTCATTACCTCCCATTAGTTTTTTTCTGACGTGGCACTTAACTGCCGTTAAATCTCAGACGTGGCAACTTCTTTTCTTCCTTTTCTTGCAGCTTCTTCTTCGTGGCAGCTTCTTTTCTTCTTCTTGCAGCTTCTTATTATTCTTCAAATCCCATATCCAAAGCCTTGCCATTTTATGAATTCTCTCTCTCTATTTTCCCAAGAAAATTCAGCTTCCCTCTCTACTTTCTCAAGAAAAAAATTAATTAACTTTGCAAGAAAATCCATCCTTCCTTCCCATGGTTTCCTTCCCGGCAATAAATCATTTAATGCTACTCTACACAAGCAAATGAAAGGCTCATAAAATTTAATGCTAGAATTCATATATTGCAGCAACTAGTACCACCCACAGAAACTTATACGTAAAACCAACTTCTTAATAAACCTGACTTGCTTTAGACATAAAGCTTGAAAGAACCAAAACCTCATCAAATGTAATAAGCCTATCAATCTTCGAACCAAGTATTCCCTTAAATCTCTGCCATAACAATCTAACAATTAACTTGCTTACTCCAAAAATAATTATAATAAAGACTAACACAAGAAACTATAAAACCGGAATGAAAACTTCAAAGATATTATGTAATTAACCTTCAGTTGAATAATAAGGATATGTGGTGCTTGACGTATAGACAATTGCTTCCTTGCTGCCACCAGTTCTTAAAATTAAAAAACTATTTCTATAAAAAAAACCATAAATTTTCATTCAAAATAAATTAAAAGCAAGTGTTTATTGCAGAGTTAATCAATTTTTTTCCCGGGAAAGTAGAGAGAGAAACTAAATTTTCTTGGGAAAATAGAGAGAAAAAGAATCCATGAAATTGCTAAGTTGCTTGAGGTGGTAACACTTCCTTATAAGCGTAAACATGGTAACGATTTTCATTATATTTACAGGATTGTTGTATTATTGTTTTTATCTATTTTCTCTTTTGGATTGAAAAGTTTTGAGTTTTACTACAAATATGTGTTTTTGATTTGTAAATGATTAGTTAGAGTTTTGAAGAAGAAGAATAAGAATAAGAAGATGCAAGAAAAAGAAGAAAAGAAGTTGTCACGAAGAAGAAGCTGCAAAAAGAAAGAAGAAGAAGAAGAAGAAGCTGCAAGAAGGGGGAGAAAAGAAGCTGCCATGTCAGAGAGTTAACGGCAGTTAAGTGCCACGTCAGCAAAAACTAACGGGAGGTAACGGCAGGGACCTTATTGAAAACGAACTAAAAGTTCGATGATTGTATTGCAAGTTTCAAAAGTTGAGTGACCAAAATGCAAGCGCCGTAAAAGTTTGGGGACTATTTATATACTTTACCCTATTAATTAATTATATTATATGTTATTTTTACTTAACTTTATTTTAATAAAAGAACAAAAAAGTGAGGCATCAGGCCGGCTTCTATTATAACGTGAGGGGCAAAAAGCTTATTGGGCAGAAGCAGTGCGCTTAGCGCCTGCCCCAAAATGCTCTAGAGGTGAGCGCTTTGGTGAGCTTCTGATATCTTGCTTCGCCTGTGTATTTAGAAGCGTTTTCTATGCGCTTATAACGATTTGGCCTATGCACACCTAAACCATGCTTTTTAAAACTAAGCTAAGACTCGTATAGATCTTAACTTAAAATCAGAAGGGATGACATGAGAATTCCAATAAACAAAGAACAATATCAAAAGCTTATTGGTAAATTAATTTACTTGTCACTCACAAAACCATACATTACTTTTCCAGTGAGTCAACATATAAATGACCCTAGAAGAGAATACCATGAAGTTGCCAAAAAAATTATGAGATACCTCAAAAAGACACTTGGACATGGCTTGCATTTCAAAAATAGTGAGAACCACAAGGCAAAAATTTTTGTTATTGCTAGTTGGGCTAGAGAATTGATCGACAAAAGATCCACAACTGGTTACTACTCATTTGTTTGGGGAAATTTGGTTACATGGAGAAGCAAGAAACAATTTGTGGAGTCAAGAATCACTATTGAAGAAGAATTTCAAGCACTTGTACTTCGGATTTGTGAGGGAACATGGATGCGAAGGTTATTGCTAGAATTGGAGTTGGACTTCAATGTAAAATTTGACGTATAAAGTGATAGCCAATCTGCCATGCAGAGCCAAGAATCTTGTCCACCATGATAGAACCAAAGATGTGGAAATTGATACACTTCATCTCAGAGAATATCAATAATGGTTCAATGAAGTTAAATTATGTTCCTACTCAAAAACGACTTGTTGATGTTCTCACCATGGCCCTTCCAAGAGCAAACTTTGATGAACTCATATCCAAGTTGGGATTCTACGATATATACTCATAAGCTTGATGGGAGTGTAGATTTAACCATATGACTTAATTATTAGAGTTTTAGTTTGTACTCTACATCTTATATATTTAAAAGATTAGATAGGATATTGACTAGACTAAGTTAACTCCTAATAGGTTTCTAAGTTAGAATTGCATTTCAGTTTTACCTTCTTTGTAATTTGTCTATATGAAATGGACAAACCTATGTAATCGAAGAGTATGAACAAAAAAAATCAAAGAACTCATCTTCTTCTATGTTCAAAAAATCCTTCTTCTTAAATTCTACAAAGAACACTAACAAGGAAAAAAGACTAACGAAGATTCATGAATCGCGGATTCAGATCATTTAGGTACTAGATTTGATGAAATTAACAAATGTTAATAAAAGGGTTTTCTCACCATTCTGGCTGCACGCATTTCCATCATGAAAGTTTCTTGTGAATTTCTAACTGGTGGGTCATTTACCTGCAATGAGGGGCAGCCATGTGGATATTAGATTAACGATAAATATGATGACAAAGGAAAGACTCATGAAACAATCCAATAAGGTTTCAAATCTAGGAAAAACTCATGAGAAGGCAATTTCTCAAAAATTTCTTCCTTGCAGCATCCCCAATGATATACAATACATTTACAGAATCCACTTAAATCAGTTCAATATTTGGTTCGAGCTTAAAGAAAATAATAGTTCAGTAGAGTACATATGTCAACCTACAGAACCAGAAAACTACATCTCATCAGCAAATGAGAAATTACGAAAATAACCAATCACAACCTTACAATTTCAAAGCAACTTATCAAATAACTTATATTACCAATATTAACTCTAAGACAGACTACAAACCATTGTACAGACATAGATAAGGTAGCTTAAAACCATTATATGCAGCAATGAGCAGGGGCGTGCAAATGTTGTTCAAAACTGAAGAAAAAAAGGCAATATCAAGGAATCACAAACTCGGAATGAACAACATAGAAAGCCATTTTTAATGAACCAGGAAATTACCGAGACAACCTTGATTTTAAAACTCATATTAGACAAAACCATTTCCTTTTTGTTAAAGAAAACTTTTAGCTGCCAAAGAGAATAATGCTTCCTTAACCGATCTATCAACAAAGCCACAAATTAGTTCCTAGACAGATGCAACGACTAACAAAACAAGGTCAATAAAATGAAAAATAACCAATGGCAAACAGCCTTTAGTGGATTTCGTTTCATTTGAACTTCCACCAGAAAGTATCAGTCTAACAAGCCAAGCTTACAACAAACACACCATTTCATAATGGTAGGATGAATCGGGAAAAAAATTTAATCCTTTTACATCGAAACAAACAATAGATCTCACAAATGATTAATCATGACACTTACCCATCACATAAATGACATGCTTTTAAATGATTAAAGAGAATGTTTCTCTCTCTAACCTTCACTCCCAATGACCAAATTAGCAGGCATTAGTGAGTTTAAAATGATACAATCTACTTTCCAGCCCCTTAACTAAGATAAACAATTTACAACATGGCAAAGTTGATCTTAAAATCATATGGAAAAGAAAAGGAACATGAATCAGCAAGCAGATTATATATTCCCATAGCAAGAAGTTAAATGAATTAATCAATTTAAGAAAAGGAATATCTTTTCCAACATGATGGAATTCTGTAAACGACTAAAAAGGTTAAAAGCTTTTAATAAAGTGAGATCTGAATCTACATTTGAAGGGTACCCATTTCCCATCTCTAACTTCTAAATTCGAATCCAGAAACAAAAGGGTAAATCCATTTAGGGGACTTCAAGAAATCTGTCATGAGACTCTTTAAGCTTTAAGAAATTTTAGTGATTGCTTTGAAGTAAAGAGAAGATTACCCGGGCAACATTAACAAGCTGAGTGAAGTTATCGACGATGCTGGCGATGTCGGTATCCACTCTATGCATCATAGTTTTTTGCTTCTGTGCCGCAGCCGCTGCAGCCGCCGCTGTGGGCCCGATTCCCACTCCCGTTCCTTTGTTCATTGTTGCAAAACTTTAAGACCCTTTTAACACAGAGAAACACGACAGCAAATGGCGAGATTAAAGGAGAGGAAACAAAATTGAGCAAGGCTGGGGTAAAAGAAATTAGAGAAAACGGAAAAATCTTGCTTTCACTGGACAATAAATGAGGGAAAATAACGAATTTGTTTTTGGGCTCTACCTCCATCTTGGCCCGTCCATGGAATAAATCGGGCCGTAATGCAACTCAAATAAAATGTTTAGACTTTCGGGCCGCATTGTCAAGGAATCTAATGAATGATAATTGGGGGAATTAATGGCAGCTTAAAAGGGAAAAAAACCCTTTAAATTTTTGGAAGCGAAGACATTAAACGTGATGATTTAATATTATAACATGTTTGACATGGAGTCCACTAGGTAAGTGGATCCCATAATGGAATATTTGATCAAGTTATTGTTGGCGAGTTTAGACAATTATGTATGACTGATTAGTACATTACAAATCATAGCTAAAAATAATTTAGTGAACCAGCCAAATCTGAAATATCCAAATTTTGAATACAATGTATTATTTAATTTTAAGAAAAATAAAATAGATAAAAAAGGGTCAAGTACATGAATGATGACTATAGGATATTGCTTTCTCTATTCCCTCGAATATTAAAAGTTACAAAAACTCAAAGCAAACGTTTACACTTTCAGTTTTTGATAAATTTGGAGTGAATGTAAAATAATAATATTTGTTTAAATTTTTTTAATCATTTGATAATAAACACTTATATATCTGTATATGTGGTGTTCAAACTTGAAACATTAAAAAATAAAAACAATTCTTTAATTATTAAAGTCACTTGCTTTGTGCAAATATTTAAACTCGAATTTCTCTTCATCCCATCTTTTTAAGTTTAATTCATTATTATTTTTAATTATATTTTTTCTTAACTTCTCTTTAAATTATTAATTTTCTCTTATTAGTCAATATAGGTATTTTTTTGATAAATTGTAATGAAGACGATAATTATGAAAAATAGAACAATAAATAATTTCTAAGATGAGAAAATATATCAAAGATTGAATTATAAGTTAAGTCATTATTTTAAGTGAAACGATAACTATTGTTAAGGATCAAATTTATTTATTTATTGAAAAATATATATATTCCTTATTAAAATCCTCTTCTACTAATACGAGGTTGGGATCTTATAAGGGGAAAAAGTGTGAAACTATCCATTAATCAAGAAGGCAACAGATCGTTTTTACATCATTCTCGAGAAACTCGGGATAATCTGATCAAAAAAAAAGAAAATATTAGATTAATTGCATGTTTAGCCAACCTATGAGCCACATGATTCGCTTTTATACGAACATAAGACACAAGACAATTAGTAAAACGATTACAATTATCACAGATAGGTTGCATGTGAATTCCTTGTAATACCCACAACCCACATATGTATCTAAATACGAGTTAAAGAAGCCACATTAACCATCTAAAACTTTTCTTGAATAGAAATTCTTCTTAAATTATATTCATTTAATCCTTTTTTCATCAAATCGATTAATCACGTAAATTAAAAATTTAATATTTTAACATTTAAAATCATATCTGATTTCAGAAAGCAATATGACAGTTCAATTCTGTGTTATATCTAAATTGAAATTGCCTAAAAATTACCTACGTAAAAATCCATTTCGATATATATATATATTATGCATTTCAAACCGATTATAAAACTAACTTATCAAAGAAACAAAACATATATAATTATACATGCCAACTATCTAAGTCAAATATCGATAATTACCGTACTGATACTAGAAATATGTGTGATTCGCAAAAAGTGATGTCTGCTATACTCCTTACTCCACTGATTTATTTTTTCATTACATATGCATGAAACACTCACATATTAATTATTCACTTAGAGAGGCATATACAAACTAAAGTAAAACATTTTAATATTAAAATATAATAAATAATTCAAATACGATACTAAAAATATCGTGTAAACAATTGTACACAAAAATGCCTTAATATAATACCAGAACATATAAACAGACTTAATAAAGTCTTTCTTAATTAGGAAAAACTGTAAAATAATAGTTATCATAAAAACATATAAAACAAACTTTCAAACCTTTCTTTATACTGAAATCTGAAAATCAATATTTCAGAATCCACATATCAGAATAAACAGATTGGATATAAGCCCTTTTATGCCAAATCAGATTATTCAATGAAAGCTTTACTTTTAACGAATCAGATAAACCTGCACTTTTCATATATATTTAATTGATTGTCCAATGGCAAAAGAGAATATATAATAAACTTAAAACGAGTGTGCCGATATGCAAATGTAACTGCCAGAAACAGATTGCACCATTGGTGCCAAACATAAGTAATAGGTACTATTGTCGAAACGATCTTTTACCCGAAGGAGAAAGGGGTAGTCTTGCTTCGAAAATGATTTTAGTGTGATAAATTTGTGATAAAAATGTGGTTCATGGAGTCGCCACCAATATTTGATTAAGGTGTGATTGGACACCCAAAAATATATTTGTCATTTAAATAAAATATTAATTTTAATTAAAACAATAAACTTGTGGTATGTGTTACCAAATTTTGAGTTCTGGAGTCGGTTACGTGTGGGAAAAGATTAGCACCCCCGCAACGCCCTAAATCGGTACCTACTCGATTAATTAATTATCTTTGTAAGAAAATGTATAAGTTCGAGTTTAACTTAATTTAAGATCCCCTAGAATAATGTTCTTTGAAATTTTGGATGAAAGATAAAGATATTTAATTATTTCCTATTGAGAATAATTGATCTATCATACATTTAAGCAATCGATTCTTACTCTTTCTTCCTGAAGAACTACTACCTTTTGCTTTCACACTCGCTCTCTCTCTAACTTTCTCACTCATGGTTTTTCTCCAGTGTTATAAAATCTAGAAGTGTTTTGCTTGTCCTGTTGGGAAGGTTCTCTAAATACCACAAGGACTGTAAATTGAAGAAGTAATTATATGCCTCGAAGCAGTTGCCTACAGCTTGGTTTGAAAGATTTATCAAAGTTGTAGTTAAATATGGCTACAAACAGTGTCGGTTTGGTCACACTCTTTTCTTGAAGGTGTCTCCAAAAAAGACCATTATAATAGTGAATGTGAATGATAACATCATAATTGGTGGACACTAAAGAAATCAACAAATTCAAAGGTTTTTTGGCTGTTGGATTTGAAGCTAAAGACATTGACACAATACTTTTCGGGAATGACAGTTATTAGATCAGAAGCCGGAATAGTAATCTCTCAAAGGAAGTATATAATGGATTTACTCACTCAAACTGATATGTTACCCAACTAAGACTCTTAGTTTTAAAAGGCGCAAGGCGCACCAATGCACAATGAGTCCTAAGAGCCTAGGCGCAGGGCGAAGGTGTGCGCCTTTCGTAGGCGAAATGCACTTTTGTGCTAAAAAGTTATAAATTAATTCTGGAACATATCCACATCCATTACCCACTGATTCACTTATGAAGCACTTAATCTTCTCCCCACATTATGTTCCTTCACCGTAGTTTGTTTCCAAAACTTTAGTTTCCAAAACACTTCAACACAAAATTAAGATTACACTATAATAAATTAATGATTGCATGTTTAAGCATAAAGACTTTAATGAAAATAACGTTAATGATGTATTTTAATTTTCGAGCTAAATTAATTTTTATAACATGTGAAATAATAATTAATTATAATTTTAAAATAAAATATTAGAATCTTATTATTTTAAAAAATTATATAATTTTATTTAATTAATATTTTATATCAATTTTTTCATTATAAGTAATGAATTCTAGTGATTTGTATTTAAATATAAGAATGAGTACATAAATAAAAATTTAGATAAAAATATTAATTGTGTAAATAAATTTTATTAATATTATAATTATATGATATTTTAATTATAAAAAAAATTTATAATTATAAAAATAATTATAAAATTAATTATATATTTCTTATAAATCTATATATTAAATGTATTTTTAACCTTTGTTATATTTTTCTATTCTATTTATTCTATTAATTTATTATATTATATTATTTTATTAGAACAAAAGAATAAAGAAAGTTGAGGGGCATAAGGTGGCAATATTCTATTTATTATATTAATTAGGGTAAAGCATATAAATAGTCCGAGGATGCTTGCATTTTGGTCACCCAACTTTTGAAACTTGCAATACAATAATCGAGCTTTTAGTTCGTTTTCAATAAGGTCCCTGTCGTTACCTCCCATTAGTTTTTTTCTGACGTGGCACTTAACTGCCGTTAAATCTCAGACGTGGCAGCTTCTTTTCTTCCTTTTCTTGCAGCTTCTTCTTCGTGGCAGCTTCTTTTCTTCTTCTTGCAGCTTCTTATTATTCTTCAAATCCCATATCCAAAGCCTTGCCATTTTATGAATTCTCTCTCTCTATTTTCCCAAGAAAATTCAGCTTCCCTCTCTACTTTCTCAAGAAAAAAATTAATTAACTTTGCAAGAAAATCCATCCTTCCTTCCAATGGTTTCCTTCCCGGCAATAAATCATTTAATGCTACTCTACACAAGCAAATGAAAGGCTCATAAAATTTAATGCTAGAATTCATATAATGCAGCAACTAGTACCACCCACAGAAACTTATACGTAAAACCAACTTCTTAATAAACCTGACTTGCTTTAGACATAAAGCTTGAAAGAACCAAAACCTCATCAAATGTAATAAGCCTATCAATCTTCGAACCAAGTATTCCCTTAAATCTCTGCCATAACAATCTAACAATTAACTTGCTTACTCCAAAAATAATTATAATAAAGACTAACACAAGAAACTATAAAACCGGAATGAAAACTTCAAAGATATTATGTAATTAACCTTCAGTTGAATAATAAGGATATGTGGTGCTTGACGTATAGACAATTGCTTCCTTGCTGCCACCAGTTCTTAAAATTAAAAAACCATTTCTATAAAAAAAACCATAAATTTTCATTCAAAATAAATTAAAAGCAAGTGTTTATTGCAGAGTTAATCAATTTTTTTCCCGGGAAAGTAGAGAGAGAAACTAAATTTTCTTGGGAAAATAGAGAGAAAAAGAATCCATGAAATTGCTAAGTTGCTTGAGGTGGTAACACTTCCTTATAAGCGTAAACATGGTAATGATTTTCATTATATTTACAGGATTGTTGTATTATTGTTTTTATCTATTTTCTCTTTTGGATTGAAAAGTTTTGAGTTTTACTACAAATATGTGTTTTTGATTTGTAAATGATTAGTTAGAGTTTTGAAGAAGAAGAATAAGAATAAGAAGATGCAAGAAAAAGAAGAAAAGAAGTTGTCACGAAGAAGAAGCTGCAAAAAGAAAGAAGAAGAAGAAGAAGCTGCAAGAAGGGGGAGAAAAGAAGCTGCCATGTCAGAGAGTTAACGGCAGTTAAGTGCCACGTCAGCAAAAAACTAACGGGAGGTAACGGCAGGGACCTTATTGAAAACGAACTAAAAGTTCGATGATTGTATTGCAAGTTTCAAAAGTTGAGTGACCAAAATGCAAGCGCCGTAAAAGTTTGGGGATTATTTATATACTTTACCCTATTAATTAATTATATTATATGTTATTTTTACTTAACTTTATTTTAATAAAAGAACAAAAAAGTGAGGCATCAGGCCGGCTTCTATTATAACGTGAGGGGCAAAAAGCTTATTGGGCAGAAGCATTGCGCTTAGCGCCTGCCCCAAAATGCTCTAGAGGTGAGCGCTTTGGTGAGCTTCTGATATCTTGCTTCGCCTGTGTATTTAGAAGCGTTTTCTATGCGCTTATAACGATTTGGCCTATGCACACCTAAACCATGCTTTTTAAAACTAAGCTAAGACTCATATAGATCTTAACTTAAAATCAGAAGGGATGACATGAGAATTCCAATAAACAAAGAACAATATCAAAAGCTTATTGGTAAATTAATTTACTTGTCACTCACAAAACCATACATTACTTTTCCAGTGAGTCAACATATAAATGACCCTAGAAGAGAATACCATGAAGTTGCCGAAAAAATTATGAGATACCTCAAAAAAGACACTTGGACATGGCTTGCATTTCAAAAATAGTGAGAACCACAAGGCAAAAATTTTTGTTATTGCTAGTTGGGCTAGAGAATTGATCGACAAAAGATCCACAACCGGTTACTACTCATTTGTTTGGGGAAATTTGGTTACATGGAGAAGCAAGAAACAATTTGTGGAGTCAAGAATCACTATTGAAGAAGAATTTCAAGCACTTGTACTTCGGATTTGTGAGGGAACATGGATGCGAAGGTTATTGCTAGAATTGGAGTTGGACTTCAATGTAAAATTTGACGTATAAAGTGATAGCCAATCTGCCATGCAGAGCCAAGAATCTTGTCCACCATGATAGAACCAAAGATGTGGAAATTGATACACTTCATCTCAGAGAATATCAATAATGGTTCAATGAAGTTAAATTATGTTCCTACTCAAAAACGACTTGTTGATGTTCTCACCATGGCCCTTCCAAGAGCAAACTTTGATGAACTCATATCCAAGTTGGGATTCTACGATATATACTCATAAGCTTGATGGGAGTGTAGATTTAACCATATGACTTAATTATTAGAGTTTTAGTTTGTACTCTACATCTTATATATTTAAAAGATTAGATAGGATATTGACTAGACTAAGTTAACTCCCAATAGGTTTCTAAGTTAGAATTGCATTTCAGTTTTACCTTCTTTGTAATTTGTCTATATGAAATGGACAAACCTATGTAATCGAAGAGTATGAAAAAAAAATCAAAGAACTCATCTTCTTCTATGTTCAAAAAATCCTTCTTCTTAAATTCTACAAAGAACACTAACAAGGAAAAAAGACTAACGAAGATTCATGAATCGCGGATTCAGATCATTTAGGTACTAGATTTGATGAAATTAACAAATGTTAATAAAAGGGTTTTCTCACCATTCTGGCTGCACGCATTTCCATCATGAAAGTTTCTTGTGAATTTCTAACTGGTGGGTCATTTACCTGCAATGAGGGGCAGCCATGTGGATATTAGATTAACGATAAATATGATGACAAAGGAAAGACTCATGAAACAATCCAATAAGGTTTCAAATCTAGGAAAAACTCATGAGAAGGCAATTTCTCAAAAATTTCTTCCTTGCAGCATCCCCAATGATATACAATACATTTACAGAATCCACTTAAATCAGTTCAATATTTGGTTCGAGCTTAAAGAAAATAATAGTTCAGTAGAGTACATATGTCAACCTACAGAACCAGAAAACTACATCTCATCAGCAAATGAGAAATTACGAAAATAACCAATCACAACCTTACAATTTCAAAGCAACTTATCAAATAACTTATATTACCAATATATTAACTCTAAGACAGACTACAAACCATTGTACAGACATAGATAAGGTAGCTTAAAACCATTATATGCAGCAATGAGCAGGGGCGTGCAAATGTTGTTCAAAACTGAAGAAAAAAAGGCAATATCAAGGAATCACAAACTCGGAATGAACAACATAGAAAGCCATTTTTAATGAACCAGGAAATTACCGAGACAACCTTGATTTTAAAACTCATATTAGACAAAACCATTTCCTTTTTGTTAAAGAAAACTTTTAGCTGCCAAAGAGAATAATGCTTCCTTAACCGATCTATCAACAAAGCCACAAATTAGTTCCTAGACAGATGCAACGACTAACAAAACAAGGTCAATAAAATGAAAAATAACCAATGGCAAACAGCCTTTAGTGGATTTCGTTTCATTTGAACTTCCACCAGAAAGTATCAGTCTAACAAGCCAAGCTTACAACAAACACACCATTTCATAATGGTAGGATGAATCGGGAAAAAAATTTAATCCTTTTACATCGAAACAAACAATAGATCTCACAAATGATTAATCATGACACTTACCCATCACATAAATGACATGCTTTTAAATGATTAAAGAGAATGTTTCTCTCTCTAACCTTCACTCCCAATGACCAAATTAGCAGGCATTAGTGAGTTTAAAATGATACAATCTACTTTCCAGCCCCTTAACTAAGATAAACAATTTACAACATGGCAAAGTTGATCTTAAAATCATATGGAAAAGAAAAGGAACATGAATCAGCAAGCAGATTATATATTCCCATAGCAAGAAGTTAAATGAATTAATCAATTTAAGAAAAGGAATATCTTTTCCAACATGATGGAATTCTGTAAACGACTAAAAAGGTTAAAAGCTTTTAATAAAGTGAGATCTGAATCTACATTTGAAGGGTACCCATTTCCCATCTCTAACTTCTAAATTCGAATCCAGAAACAAAAGGGTAAATCCATTTAGGGGACTTCAAGAAATCTGTCATGAGACTCTTTAAGCTTTAAGAAATTTTAGTGATTGCTTTGAAGTAAAGAGAAGATTACCCGGGCAACATTAACAAGCTGAGTGAAGTTATCGACGATGCTGGCGATGTCGGTATCCACTCTATGCATCATAGTTTTTTGCTTCTGTGCCGCAGCCGCTGCAGCCGCCGCTGTGGGCCCGATTCCCACTCCCGTTCCTTTGTTCATTGTTGCAAAACTTTAAGACCCTTTTAACACAGAGAAACACGACAGCAAATGGCGAGATTAAAGGAGAGGAAACAAAATTGAGCAAGGCTGGGGTAAAAGAAATTAGAGAAAACGGAAAAATCTTGCTTTCACTGGACAATAAATGAGGGAAAATAACGAATTTGTTTTTTGGGCTCTACCTCCATCTTGGCCCGTCCATGGAATAAATCGGGCCGTAATGCAACTCAAATAAAATGTTTAGACTTTCGGGCCGCATTGTCAAGGAATCTAATGAATGATAATTGGGGGAATTAATGGCAGCTTAAAAGGGAAAAAAACCCTTTAAATTTTTGGAAGCGAAGACATTAAACGTGATGATTTAATATTATAACATGTTTGACATGGAGTCCACTAGGTAAGTGGATCCCATAATGGAATATTTGATCAAGTTATTGTTGGCGAGTTTAGACAATTATGTATGACTGATTAGTACATTACAAATCATAGCTAAAAATAATTTAGTGAACCAGCCAAATCTGAAATATCCAAATTTTGAATACAATGTATTATTTAATTTTAAGAAAAATAAAATAGATAAAAAAGGGTCAAGTACATGAATGATGACTATAGGATATTGCTTTCTCTATTCCCTCGAATATTAAAAGTTACAAAAACTCAAAGCAAACGTTTACACTTTCAGTTTTTGATAAATTTGGAGTGAATGTAAAATAATATTTGTTTAAATTTTTTTAATCATTTGATAATAAACACTTATATATCTGTATATGCGGTGTTCAAACTTGAAACATTAAAAAATAAAAACAATTCTTTAATTATTAAAGTCAATTGATTTGTGCAAATATTTAAACTCAGATTTCTCTTCATCCCATCTTTTTAAGTTTAATTCATTATTATTTTTAATTATATTTTTTCTTAACTTCTCTTTAAATTATTAATTTTCTCTTATTAGTCAATATAGGTATTTTTTTGATAAATTGTAATGAAGACGATAATTTTGAAAAATAGAACAATAAATAATTTCTAAGATGAGAGAAAATATATCAAAGATTGAATTATAAGTTAAGTCATTATTTTAAGTGAAACGATAACTATTGTTAAGGATCAAATTTATTTATTTATTGAAAAATATATATTCCTTATTAAAATCCTCTTCTACTAATACGAGGTTGGGATCTTATAAGGGGAAAAAGTGTGAAACTATCCATTAATCAAGAAGGCAACAGATCGTTTTTACATCATTCTCGAGAAACTCGGGATAATCTGATCAAAAAAAGAAAATATTAGATTAATTGCATGTTTAGCCAACATATGAGCCACATGATTCGCTTTTATAGGAACATAAGACACAAGACAATTAGTAAAACGATTACAATTATCACAGATAGGTTGCATGTGAATTCCTTGTAATACCCACAACCCACATATGTACCTAAATACGAGTTAAAGATGTACATTAACCACCCAAAACTTTTCTTGAATAGAAATTCTTCTTAAATTATATTCATTTAATCCTTTTTTCATCAAATCGATTAATCACGTAAATTAAAAATTTAATATTTTAACATTTAAAATCATATCTGATTTCAGAAAGCAATATGACAGTTCAATTCTGTGTTATATCTAAATTGAAACTGCCTAAAAATTACCTATGTAAAAATCCATTTCGATATATATATATATATTATGTATTTCAAACCGATTATAAAACTAACTTATCAAAGTAACAAAACATATATAATTATGCATGCCAACTATCTAAGTCAAATATCGATAATTACCGTACTGATACTAGAAATAGGTGTGATTCGCAAAAAATGATGTCTGCTATACTCCTTACTCCACTGATTTATTTTTTCATTACATATGCAAGAAACATTCACACGTTAATTATTCACTTAGAGAGACATATACAAACTAAAGTAAAACATTTCAATATTAAAATATAATAAAGAATTCAAATACGATACTAAAAATATCGTGTAAACAATTGTACACAAAAATGCCTTAATATAATACCAGAACATATAAACAGACTTAATAAAGTCTTTCTTAATTAGGAAAAACTGTAAAATAACAGTTATCATAAAAACATATAAAACATACTTTCAAACCTTTCTTTATACTGAAATCTGAAAATCAATATTTCAGAATCCACAGATCAGAATAGACAGATTGGATATAAGCCCTTTTATGCCAAATCAGATTATTCAATGAAAGCTTTACTTTTAACGAATCAGATAAACCTGCACTTTTCATATATATTTAATTGATTGCCCAATGTATAGCAAAAGAGAATATAATAAAGTTAAAACGAGTGTGCCGATATGCAAATGTAACTGCCAGAAACAGATTGCACCATTGGTGCCAAACATAAGTAATAGATACTATTGTCGAAACGATCTTTTACCCGAAGGGGAAAGGGGTGGTCTTGCTTCGAAAATGATTTTAGTGTGATAAATTTGTGATAAAAATGTGGTTCACGGAGTCGCCACCAATATTTGATTAGGGTGTGATTGGGCACCCAAAAATATATATTTGTCATTTAAATAAAATATTAATTTTAATTAAAACAACAAACTTGTGGTATGTATTACCAAATTTTGAGTTCTGGAGTCGGTTACGTGTGGGAAAAGATTAGCACCCCCACAACGTCCTAAATCGGTACCTACTCGATTAATTAATTATCTTTGTAATAAAATGTATAAGTTCGAGTTTAACTTAATTTAAGATCCCCTAGAATAATGTTCTTTGAAATTTTGGATGAAAGATAAAGATATTTAATTATTTCCTATTGAGAATAATCGATCTATCATACATTTAAGCAATCGATTCTTACTCCAATCGAAATAAAGAAATATTGGAATTCCATTCTAAATTTCAAAATAATAATACCTAAAATAATGTTAAGATTGAAAACAATAATATTTAATTATTTCAGATCGAACATTAATATTTTAAAAAACCTTTGAAAACACATGCCAAAGATAAATAAATAAATAAATAAATAAACATATCAAACAATTGATTAATTATTTATTTTACCAATATTTAATGAGAATAAAGATATTCAATTAATTAAATATCGTGAGACGAGACCATAGATTCGATATAACAATCTTTTCTCGATGAATTTAATTAAAAGAATACGATCTTTTTATCAATTCTTGAATTTTAAAAATTGATTCAATTTAATTGGTGTCACTTAACCGGATAGACTTTCGTTTTAAAATTATCGAAAGTAATTTTCTTATACGTTAAGACAGTTACTTTACGACAATATTAAAATGATAGAATATTACCCTTAATCAAATTATTTTGATTTGAGTCAAGTGATGCTTATGAGGATATCATATATTTTACCCCAAAAAAAATATGTCATGCAACTAAACTTAATCTAATGACACATTCACCTACGTTATAAATATTAAAAGATAAAACATATTCATCATTTAAAATACAAACCATACATATTTTATATACAAAACATAACACATAATATAGTACACCACAACTAAAATGTTGATTAGTATGCGTTGAAAAATAATAATATAAACACAAGTATGGCATGTTTATGTGTAATATATATATAAATACAATCAAAATATAAGGTAATATATTAATAAACAGATCAAATTTAAAGAGGGATGAGACGTGAATAATTTAGTTTATTTTCAAAATAAAATATTTAATATTAACAATGGTTATTCATGAATTAATAATATAACATGCATATTTTGAGAAAGCATTTACAAAATAAAGATACTTGCCAAATCTAATGAATATATATAAAATTTGAAAAGGAAAAGGAAAATTAAAATTAAATATATTTAACAAAAATTGCCGTATTTATTTTACTAATATATTTATGAGATTGTACATACAAGAATCTATATATTTAAAGAATTTAACATATATAACTTACACACATTAAATATAATACATAATAAGTAACAAAATTACTTACCTTTCAACCTTAATACATATTTTAGACAATATATACAAAACATATATAATACTTACATATATAATACATACAAAATATGATAATACTAATGTAAAACTGTGCATATATACACATACATAAAACACAAGGGGCTATACAGAGAATTTCTCTAAAAATAAATATAGGCATAAAAAAGGTATATTTTAGAAACAGTCCCTTTAGGGACTAAAATGCAAAATGCGTTAAAGTTTCGGGGACAAAAACTATTATTTTACCCAAATACATTAAGGCAATGCAAAAATGGCTAAATTTCAAATTCAGTCCCTACATGTGATTGTTTTGTAAAACACGCGTAAACCTAGAGGGGTTTATGTTGTAGTTAACCTGTAAACTTTATCTATAAATACCATTCATTTGTGTTTTTTTTTTCATTTTTACACATTTGAGAGAAAAAAAAGAGAGAGGAGAAATCCTCTCTATTGGGCTCGACCGGCTAACAGCCGGATTACATCCGGCCACCGCACATGGTTGCTGGAATTCCCAAAATCAACCAAATTGTCTTTTTTTATAGATCTAACCCCCTAGGAGTTTATCTTAGCCTAAAACACCCTAAAAACCACAAAACAAGCTCCAAACCAAGCTCCGAGCCTTCGGTTCTTATGCACTCCCGCTACCGTCCGATGAAGATTCGATGACTTAGGTAAATTCCTTCCTTTAAACTTCCGATTTTCTCTATTTTTACATGCAAAGTTTCGATTTTTTGTTTTATTTATACAAGTTTTTATTTTTCATTCGAACATATGTATGGAAAATACGAAAATAAAATAAAGATGATACATTTCGAATGCTATTGAAAACTTTCTGATTTATTGCTTTGTATTTTGTTTCTGGAAAACTCTGAATGGGTCGAACTCCATCCACATTATATTGTTTCAACGGGATTTTATACCCGTTTTTTTACAAGTCTAAAAATAGTAATCTATTTTATTTATTATTATTTTTTGTGTTTGGTGATGATTCACGCATGGTATGGCCAACTATGATTAGTTGTAGTGGCATGGTAGTGGTTGGCAACAATGATGGTTGTTGAGTGGTCCAAGAGGCGGTGGTTGTTGAGTGGTCTAAGTGGTGGTGGCTGTTGAGTGGTCAAAGTGGTGGTGGCTGTTGAGTGGTCCAAGCGGAGGTGGCCTGTTCTGGAAACCCTAGCAGGAATCAATCTGGGCCGTTGGACCTCTCCCATATCCAACGGCTAAGAGTTGTTGGAGGCTGATGGAACATGAAAAAACCCTAATCTGATTGGGCTGCTACAATTGGGCTTCGGGTATAACTTGTATTTTGGGTTTTGGGCTCACCAAGCCTATTATTGTAAATTTGTAAAATAAAATAAAATTATAAATTATTATTTTTAATATTATTAATAATAATATATTAATAATATAATTATAATTATAATATAAATAATGACAAAAAATGAATGTCGACGGTTGCCCCTCTTTGTCCATTCTTGTGTTAACAAGAATAGGGCAAAGAAGAAGAGACAAAACGTTTTTCGTCCAGTCAACCTCAAGGTTTGAAATATGATTAAGGAATTTGTTCCGTTGTTACTCAGGGAATATCAGATCTGGGGATGATATGGATTTGTTCCGCTTCTTCTTAAGGAAATATCGGATCTAGAAGAAGTGGTGACTCATTCCGCTGTTCTTTAGGGAAAATTGAATGGAGGCAGACTTGTTCCACTTACTCTGAAGGGAATATCAAATCTTGAAAAAAAAGACACATGTTCCGCTTACTCTGAAGGGAATATCAGATCTTAGAGGAGTTTGATCCACTAAATGGGGGCAGACTTGTTCTACTTACTCTGAAGGGAATATCAAATCTTGGGAAAGAGAGATCTATTTTTCTTACTCTGAAAGGAATATCAGATCTTGAAGGAGTTTGATTCCTTGAATCAGGGCAGACTTGTTCCACTTACTCTGAAGAGAATATCAAATCTTGGGAAAGAGAGACATGTTCCGCTTACTTTGAAGGTTATATCAGATCTTAGAGGAGTTTGATTCCTTGAATCAGGGCAGACTTGTTCCACTTACTCTAAAGGGAATATCAAATCTTGGGAAAGAGAGACCTGTTCCGCTTACTCTGAAGGGAATATCAGATCTTAGAGGAGTTTGATCCACTAAATCAGGGCAGACTTGTTCCACTTACTCTGAATGGAATATCAAATATTGGGAAAGAGAGACATGTTCCGCTTACTCTGAAGGGAATATCATATCTTAGAGGAGTTTGATCCACTAAATGGGGGAAGACTTGTTCCACTTACTCTGAAGGGAATATCAAATCTTGGGAAAGAGAGACATGTTCCGCTTACTCTGAAGGTTATATCATATCTTAGAGGAGTTTGATTCCTTGAATCAGGGCAGACTTGTTCCACTTACTCTGAAGGTAATATCAAATATTGGGAAAGAGAGACATGTTCCGCTTACTCTGAAGGGAATATCAGATCTTAGAGGAGTTTGATCTACTGAATCATGGCAGACTTGTTCCACTTACTGTGAAGGGAATATCAAATCTTGGGAAAGAAAGACATGTTCCACTTACTCTGAAGGTTATATCATATCTTAGAGGAGTTTGATTCCTTGAATCAGGGCAGACTTGTTCCACTTACTCTGAAGGGAATATCAAATCTTGGGAAAGAGAGACATGTTTCGCTTACTCTGAAGGGAATATCAGATCTTAGAGGAGTTTGATCTACTGAATCATGGCAGACTTGTTCCACTTACTCTGAAGGGAATATCAAATCTTGGGAAAGAAAGACATGTTCTGCTTACTCTGAAGGGAATATCAGATCTTAGAGGAGTTTGATCCACTAAATGGGGGCAGACTTGTTCCACTTACTCTGAAGGAAATATCAAATCTTAGGAAAGAGAGACCTGTTTCGCTTACTCTGAAGAGAATATCAGATCTTGGGGGAGTTTGATCCACTGAATGGGGCTAGACTTGTTCCACTTACTCTGAAGGGAATATCAAATCTTGGGAAAGAGAGACCTGTTCCGCTTACTCTGAAGGGAATATCAGATCTTGGAGGAGTTTGATCCACTGAATGGGGGCAGACTTGTTCCACTTGTCTTTAAGATTGACAAATCTGAAAATTAAGCATTAAGTTAGTTAAATTGTGTTTAAAGATTTGAAAACATTATACCTGTAAGTCTCAGGGTAGTAATCTTTGGAAAGGATTTCTCTTGTGGGAACTCTTCTTGTCACCATCACATATGAAAATTTGAAACACTTGTTTTTATGTTGAATCCTTACATCTCTAATACTTCCTGTAAGAACTTGGCATATCTATCATTATCATGCGTTTTTATGTCATGATCCTATTTATGCCTATCATGTATGCAATGATTACTTTAAAAGTATTTTATTATCTGATACGAATTTTCTCTTGTTGATGGCCTTGTAGTTCAATCGAATTTGGGGCACGAAAAAGCCGACCGCTATTCATCCTGATTAACCATTTCGAATTGGATACTCTTTGGTTCTTTTTAACCTTTGAGCCCAAGCATGGCTAACTATTTGACTAGCGACAATCTCTTGAATTATTCCATGTTGCTGAACTTTTACATGTAACCCAAGGCTTTAACTTTTCACTACACCGCATTGCATAAGCCTCATGGTAAATCTTGAATAGCCTTGACTTTGTCTGGATCTACCTCGATACCTTTGTTGCTCATTACAAACCCCAGGAGTTTCCCATACATTACCCCGAAGGTACACTTGCTTGGATTGAGTTTTAACTGGGATTTCCTTAATCTTTGGAAGAGTTTTCTCAGATTCTCAATGTGTTCTTCCTCTGTTTTAGCCTTGACAATCATATCATCGACGTAGACCTCTATTTCCTTATGCATCATATCGTGGAACAATGTTACCATGGCTCTTTCGTAAGTTGTCCCCGCATTCTTTAGCCCAAATGACATCACCTTGTAACAAAATGTGCCCCACATGGTGACAAACGTAGTCTTTTCCATATCATCTGGATGCATCTTTATTTGATTGTAAACCGAAAACCCATCCATGAATGAAAATAGGGAATGTCCAGCAGTATTATCTACAAGGGTGTCTATGTGTGGTAGGGGGAAATTATCTTTCGGGCTGGCTCGGTTATGGTCTCTATAGTCGACACACATACAAACTTTCCCGTCTTTCTTAGGTACTGGAACAATATTTGCTACCCATTCTGGATACTTGGCTACTTTCAAGAACCCCACATTAAATTGTTTCTTTACTTCTTCCTTAATTTTAACAGTATTTCAGGACACATCCTTCTGAACTTTTGTTGTACCGGTTTACATTCTGACTTTATTGGCAATTTATGTACTACTAACTCCGTGTCTAAACCTGACATGTCCTCATATGACCAAACGAACACATCTCCTTATTCTCGAAGCAACTCAATCAACTTTTTCCGTCATTCAGTAGATAGGATGGTGCCAATCTTTATCTCTTTTTTATCCTCTTCTGATCCCAGATTCAAGATTTCAATGGGCTCTTTGTGGGGCAGAATCTGTTTATCTTTTCTCTCTACCATTTTCAGTAATTCAGAAGGTAAGTCAATTCCCTCGTCATTATCATCACTCTCAACTTCCTCCTGACAGATAGGTAGCTCAAAATCTATCTCCGTGTCAGAGTCATCAGCATTCATATTATTGATACCAGAAGCCCTGAGAGGAAAATAATTGAAAGGATATATACATATAACCATACAGGAGAACACTTATCCCGTATCAAAATAGAATGAAATAATAATAAATAACAAATTAATGAAAAGAATATGCATGGGAAGATGTTTGCCATTTTGTGAATTGTCTGAAATGCATCTCTTATTAAACATAAAAAACATATAGATTAACCATTTACACGAGATCACCTATTGCCTCAGGGTTTATATAATAGGGAAAGTTTTTTGTGTATTACTCTGAAATAGTTTCGAAAAATACAGGTAATTCTTATGCAGTCCAATTGTTTAGCACAAAGCCTAGTGGTGCAGGGTAGATCCCCCTGGCTCTTCCTTCTTTAGTCTCTTCTACCGATATCATATTTATGTCCAAATTCTTCAATGTATTTTCAATAATTGGCTCTTTAGATAATTGGGCTCCCTGAAACATATGGCATCCAGATATGAAAGTGTCCTGTAACAATAGGAAAATCATGGGTTCCCACTTAATATCCTCCCCAGTTAGTATGGCTTTTCTTTTCTCCTGACTTTTCTGAACACCCTTTAACTTTTCTTTGAAGGTTGGGCAATATCCCAAACCAAACCGATCTCTCTTGATACCAGGAAAAACTAGGTTAATATTTCCCTGTAAGTGGCTTCCCAACCCTCTTCCGACTTTGGCTCCTCTACCCACAGTCACTTTTAATCCCATTTTGGTACAATTGGATAGCCTAGGCTTTGGAATTTTCTTCCTCTCAGCAAAAAAAAGTGGCATTAACAAATTCCAAAGACCTGAAAGGGCATTCAACCGCTTTTTCATCCACCTCAATGTATGGAGCAGTAGTAGATACAAAAGCAATGATGTCTTCCTCAGCATTAATGCATACTAGTCTTCCATCCATTATAAATTTGAGTTTCTGATATAGAGTGGAGGGCACCGCTCCTGCCTGGTTGATCCAAGGCCTTCCTAACAAGCAATTATAAGTTGGCATTATATCCATGACGAGGAATTCAACCTCGTAAATTGATGAGCCTATGGTCAAAGGGATATCAATTTTTCCCAGTACTTCCCTCTTCGTCCCATCGAAAGCTCGCATAATGTTTTAGTAATTTTTCATGTGCGTACTGTCAACTGGTAGCTTTTTAGAGTAACTAGCGGCATAACATTCAAAGCTGAGCCATTATCAATTAACACCCTTGATAACACATGACCCTTGCATCTAACGGTGATGTGTAGAGCTTTGGGGTTACCCATTATCCCGGACGGGATCTCATCATCAGAGAAAGAAAGGAAATTATCTGCCTGAATATTTGTGACCAATCGATCTATCTTTTCTACTGGCACATTTTTTGGTACAAAAGTTTGATTAAAGACTTTCAACAGGGCACTTTGATGTGCTTCGAAGCTTAATAGCAAAGCCAAGATTGAGACACGAGCTAGCAATTTGTGTAATTGCTCGACAACGCTGTACTCGTTATGTTTTAATAATTTTAAAAACTCTATAGCCTCATTCTCGGTTACAGGCTCATTAATTGCCAGCTTATCATCCTTCAGCAATATCTCAACCTTTTTCCCTTTATCAGCTGTAATTCTTTTCTAGGGTTCACTGGTCTGGTTGGGAGAATAACATCTCCCACTTCTGGTAAAGTGGCCTACCTCATCCACATCTTCCTTAGCAGCCTCTGAACTTTCAACATTCTCTAGCTGGCATCCATACCTCCAAGGGACCTGCTTATTGTCCTTATAAGGAAAGGAAGATGGAGGTGTGATCATCACTTTAGGGATTACCCTTTCCATAATTCTGGCTTGTGGTGTAATGACCAAAGGGCAGTTAGTATTATAAACTCCCTTGAATGTGCCTTCAGAAGCGCAAATCTCTATCCCTTTCTCTTTCGTAGCTTCATGGTAAAATTCCATGTTTTTACTATCCATCATCCCTTGAACCAAGGCCTTCAACTCATTACAGTCTTGAATAATATGATCCTCGTAACAGTGATAGGGGAGAGCGTGCTTATTCTCATTAGCATTAGAGATCAACCAACTTACTTTGACCATTTGTTCCCATATCTTATGTATGGGTGACTTCACTTCACTAACTTTGGTTATGACTCCATTCCCTTTTTCCTCAATAACAATATTAACCCTTGTCCCTGTATGGTTCGAAAGTGGGTTTTGAGCCACATTGGGCTGCTCATTGTCACCGAAGTTGATGACATTTATTTGTTTTAATCTCTGCACCAACTTCTTAAAGGCCAAGCAATTTTTAATTGAATGCCCCGATGCCCCCGCATGATACTCGCATTGAGCGTTGACATCATACCATTTTGGGTAAGGAGGCTGAATTGGAGAAGTGTGGTATGGGAAAACCACATGTTTTTCATACATGATCTGGAAAAGATCTTTATAAGTCATAGGGATGGGGTAAAATTGAACTATTTCCCTTTCATGTCTTGGCTCATTCGCCCCTTGTTTAATAGGATTTTATGTAGACGATCCGGTGGCCTGAGGTTGAGATACTATAATGTTATTAGAATCATATTTCTTTACATTACTGACCTTATTATCTTTTCTTCTCGTTGGAGGCTTTCGGCTAGATTCTCCCCCATCTAGTTTCCCGTTTCTGATTGTCATTTCTATCATTTCTCCTACCGTAACAATATCAGCAAAATTCTTGGACGAATTCCCAATAAGATGTCCAAAGAACGGAGCCCTTCGAGTATTTACAAAAAGCATATTTGTTTCTTCCTCCTCCAACGGTGGATGAACTTGTACAACTACATCCCTCCACCTTTGGGCATACTACCTGAAGGTCTCGTTGGATCTTTTTTCCATATTCTTTAACATGATTCGGTTTGGCCTTACATCTTTTACATGTTTATTTTGCTCTAGAAAAACCTTAGCCAAATCCTTCCAAGAATTAATCTGAGCTCGAATTAACTGATTGTACCAACGGACTGCTGAGCCTGTCAGGCTCTCTTGAAAACAATGAATTAATAGCTGATCGTCCCTTACATAGCCTGTCATTTTTCTACAAAACATGGTAATGTGTACAGAAGAACAACTGGTGACATCAAATTTTTCAAAATCCGGAACTTTAAACTTCGGTGGTAGTACTAAATCGGGAACCAAACTTAGCTCTTTAGCGTCAATTCCATATAGATTAGCGTCTTCTTTCATAGCTCGAAATTCATTCTTCATTTGTTCCCATTCTTTCTTAAGCTCCTTATTATGTTATTTTTTCCCTCTTCATCGGGATAAGGGATATCTTTAATTGGTTGCGGGTTTACAGAATCCCCAAGTAGGTTCAATTGTATTTTTTTTGGTTGAACAGTCTTTGCTCGTTGTACTCGGACATGCAATGGTGTAAAGCCAGGGGAATACAATGGTTCTACAGAAGAACCAACAACTGGGGCTTTTCCAATGTCAGCCCGTGGTTCAGAACCTGGGGGATACACATACTCCTCAACAGCAGGACCAATAACTGAAGTCTCTTTTCGAATTATACTATTTCCTCGTATCAAATTAGTCAGATTTTCCATCATATCATTTTGAGCCTTCACCATCTACTCGCGCATATCTTCTTGTGCTTTCTTTAAACTCTCTTGCATTTCAGCTTGAACCTTATCTATTTAGACAATTCTGTAATCCATTACTTTTTTCGCGTGTTGTACGAATTCTTGTAAGGGTCCATTATTCTGCCACATAATCTTTTTATTAATAATGGTGTTTATTAATGAGGTGTGAAAAATGTGATTAGAATGTTATTCGTAAAAGTAAATGCGATGTAAATGCAATATGAATGCAATGAAAGGAGTTGATTTTGGGACGATTCCTTAGAACAACTTTTTATATAGGAAACGAAGCTCGATTACAAGGATTAAACAGATCACAGATACATCTGAGCTATCTCTCCTAATTGTTGGATGTGTCCCAGTAATTCTACAATCTTCTGGTTTTCTTCAGCCTCGAGATCCATTTCTTCGATCACATCATCAGCTTCCTATGACAGGTCAACCAAGTACAGAGCCACTCCTTGAGCTTGCTGTAGGTATCTTACGATGAGATCCTCCTTTGCCTAACTCTCCACTGAGCCTGCTCCCAACGATAGTGCCATTGTATAACTCCTTCATAAGGGACCAATGTAAGTTCATTTGCTCTTCTTTGCAAATCTTGAACTGAGGCGTCGAGTTCATTCACACGCTTCTTCAATCTTTCTACTTCAACACGGTTTGAACTACTTACTCGACTTCGATATCGTCGTAAAACAGTCTCTAAGCTCAATACTTTATTCTTTAACTTCTCATTCTAGGTCTGATTCTCTTGCAGTTGTTGTTCAAGGACATTTTTCTCTCTTGATAGTAGCTTTGCCTGATGTCTTCTCTGTTTAAATTCTTTACTGCTTTCCCCAGCTTCTCTTTTTAGTCCTGTCACTTCTTGTTTCCATTCAGCAGAAGACTTACTTGAGCTAGCAGCTCTCTGATTTTTAACCATTTGTTGATGGGATAACTGAAAAATCATTGAAATCTAATCTGAGTTGCTTTTCTATGTTTTTGTTCCGGTTAGCTCGACTCTTTTGGATGTCAATTTCTACGCTTCTGTGGTATGATTCATCCTCTAACCTTTGTAATTTGTTTCTCCATTGTTTCCTCTCAGCCTCAAAATCAAGCTTGGCTTGTTCTATCGGGGATGAAACCACTCTGAGGTGTTCTTCCATAGGCTGAGTATTCTCTGGGTTACTCATAAGAACATTATCATTAACTTTGTTGCTTCTCCACTCCTCCTACCCTCAAGATAGCCTTAAGTCAAAAGTAAAGAGATTTACTCGATGGGTTCTTCTCCACTCCTCGTACCCCTTTAACTTTATTTTTGTACTGTTCTCCCCTAAATGTGAACTAAGACTTGGATAACTCCCCTGTTACCAGAATAAACTGCCTTGACCCAAACTGTCGAGAAACCAATAATGGGGCATATCCTACAGATCCTCAAATACCTGGTAATGGTACCCAATCTCTGCCTCCGCATCGATACAATATATCTGATGAGACGTTCCAAGAAGCTCACCACTAAATATCATCGCAGATGTCTTTGAAGATGACCATCCACTTATCCTTAGTGAAACCCCAGGCCACTCCCGAGAAATGAAATCCTTCAACGGTGAGAAACCTTCTAAGAAGACTCGACCAGGTGCCCTCTCGATGTGTTTGAAATGACTAAGGATCTATGTTAGCAACAAATGGTGCACAACCTATGAAGCGTCCTTCTCCTTCCTGTCGACAGGAGCTCAGGGAACAGAATGTCTCTGCTAGGATAGCTAGAATGGGATCCACATGTCTATCCAGTCTTTCAAACAGGTCAACTACTGATACATCAACATGCCCGAGAACTCTTGGGAAAATAACCAACACATAAATACCTAGAGAAAACAAGTTGATCTTCTTTCTTTTGTCAAGATGATAGTCAATTAATTCTTTTAGAAGGGTCCACATAAAGCACTCGCTTTCTCCTTTCTTTTTTATGCCTCTCGTAACCCATTCTTCACTCATACGGTCATCAAAAGCAGTTTCTTCTTAAAGGAAGGAGTATTCGGTGGCTTGGTATATACTTTGTCTACCTGAAGCCTCAGGAAATGAATCATAGCATGGTACTTCTCTATGGTAGGCGTCAGGTCCACTCGGCCAAATCTAAAACAACTATAAGCGGGATTCCAGAACTGAGCCAGAGCTCTAAATAGATCCCGGTCAATTGGGATATAATGGAGATATGAAATGTCTCCATAGAGTTGGTAAAATAACTGTTTATCAGATACTTCCTATCTTCTCCAAATCTCTCTCAGCTCGCTCAGATCATTCTGACGAACATTGATATGAGTATACCCACTCAGATCTGAGATACATCCTGAAGATAAATTGTTTCCATTTGTTATCTGAGTCTGCTTGGACCATCTTAAGACATTTGCATTGTCCTCTACCTCTTTTTTAATCATCTGTTCCATATTACTGGTCTTCTATATAGACATCAGTCATAGATAAACACCAATGGGATGAATAATACAATATAAGATGAGTACAAAGTAAACAAAAGAAAAGAAAATCAGTCAGTAATTATAAATGAATTGATTAAACATAATTCAATTTATCGATAAAACCTACCCCACATGTTAGCTACCCAATCATGCTTTAGTAGATCCTACTCAATCATGCTTTAGTAGATCCTACCCAATCATGATTTCTACCCATATGCATTGTTTATAGAATGTCCTAACCTCATGTCATCTAGTTCACATGCTTATCCAAGAAATTAAACCTAACCACATGATTTCTAGTTCGCATACATTTATTCGAGAAATTAAAATTACACTAAAGAATGCTCAAATAAACTTTTCCTTATGTACTCTCCTCACAGGATCATATATTCTGGGTAAGGTTGTATATGGGTTCTAAGTGTACTACATGTTGGTTTTGGTTCTAAAGTGAGAGGTCCTCGAATTATACTTTAACGGTACCCCCTTGGACTGTCGAACCCTAAATCCTAGCCCATCACAGGTGTTCGGATCGAGTTCAATTCTAGGGGACACACTTCCTTATGTCCATACGGAGGTGAAAAGAATCACGATGATCATAAGGTGTGAGCCCAAGGAGTTATCTACTATCCCGTACGGAGGTGAAAACCACACGAGGGAGTAGTTTCTCACTCCTACTTAAATAGGATGGAGCGGGGTTTTAGCTCATGTTATGCAAATACAGCTGTGCAGTGTGTGAGGAAAAGCGAAAATAAAGTAAACAACAATAAATAGAAAATTCAAAATCTTGAACAATTATTCACTCTGAAAACATCAGCAAACAAATTAGTATAACTTATTTAGTGGTTAATTTAGACACTAATTTAAACTTAAATAGGGGATGAAAAACCATATTAGAGTGAACTTATAATTTTTATTTACAAAGATAATTTATTAATCGACTAATGGCCTAACTCTCTAAAAAATGTTCCCAGCAGAGTCATCAAGCTATCGAAATGATCTTTTACCCGAAGGGGAAAGGGGTTGTCCTGCTTCGAAAATGATTTTAGTGTGATAAATTTGTGATAAAAATGTGGTTCGCGGAGTCACCACCAATCTTTGATTAGGGTGTGATTAGGAACCCAAAAATATATTTGTCATTTAAATAAAATATTAATTTTAATTAAAGCGACAAACTTGTGGTCTGCGTTACCAAATTTTGAGTTCGGGAGTCAATTATGTGTGGGGAAGGATTAGCACCCCCATAACGCCCTAAATCGGTACTTAGTCGATTAATTAATTGTCTTTTCAATAAAATGTATAAGTTCGAGTTTAACTTAATTTAAGATCCCCTAGAATAATGTTCTTTAAAATTTTGGATGAAAGATAAAAATATTTAATTATTTCCTATTGAGAAGAATCGATCTATCATACCTTTAAGCAATCGATTCTTACTCCAATTGAAATAAAGAAATATTGGAATTCCATTCTAAATTTCAAAATAATAATACCTAAAATAATGTTAAGATTGAAATCAATAATATTTAATTATTTTAGATCGAACATTATTATTTTAAAAAACCTTTGAAAACACATGCCAAAGATAAATAAATAAATAAACATATCAAACAATTGATTAATTATTTATTTTACTAATATTTAATGAGAATAAATATATTCAATTAATTAAATATCGCGAGACGAGAGCATAGATTCGATCTAACAATCTTTTCTCGATGAATTTAATTAAAAGAATACGATATTTTTCTCAAATCTTGAATTTTAAAAATGGATTCAATTTAATTGGTGTCACTTAACGGGATAGACTTTCGTTTTAAAATTATCGAAAGTAACTTTCTTATACGTTAAGACAGTTACTTTACGACAATATTAAAATGATCGAATATTACCCTTAATCAAATTATTTTGATTCGAGTCAAGTGATGTTTATGAGGATATCATATATTTTACCCAAAAAAAATATGTCATGCAACTAAACTTAATCTAATGACACATTCACCTACGTTATAAATATTAAAAGATAAATTATATATATCATTTAAAATACAAACCATACATATTTTATATACAAACACATAATATAGTACACCACAACTAAAATGTTGATTAGTATGCGTTGAAAAATAATAATATAAACACAAGTATGGCATGTTTATGTGTAATATATATATATAAATACAATCAAAATATAAGGTAATATATTAATAAACAGATCAAATTTAAAGAGGGATGAAACGTGAATAATTTAGTTTATTTTTAAAATAAAATATTTAATATTAATAATGGTTATTCATGAATTAATAATATAACATGCATATTTTGAGAAAGTATTTACTAATATATTTATGAGATTGTACAAACAAAAATCTATATATTTAAAGAATTTAACATATATAACTTACACACATTAAATATAATACATAATAGGTAACAAAATTACATACCTTTCAACCTTAATACATATTTTAGACCATATATACACAACATATATAATACTTACATATATAATACATACCAAATATGATAATACTAATGTAAAACTGT